TCAGTGTGGCCAGTGCCTCGCTCAGGAGCAGCCCACGTGTGGCCAGCCGCTTGGGTATGCATGGGGACCTGTGGCTGAAGGTATGGCTAGAGGCAGGGCCGGGGTTTGATTTCTGTGTGTTCACTTGAAGGGAGGATGTGGGGGTGTTAGTCTTGGGGCCTCCCGGGTGTGTGCCTTAACTGTGAGGCGATGATTTCACTTCACCACACGTCGCGCCCAGCCTGACCACACGTTTGTAGAATGGGTACAGTGGAGTCCCACTCCGTCAGTCGTCACGGGGGTGAACACAGGTGCTAAGTTAGCGCCCGGAGCGGGGCCTGTGGCTCTATGACTGGGGTTGATAGCGACGACAGTTCCTGTGACGGACAGGGTACCAGTCGGGTTTTCTGAAGTTTGATTATTTAGTGAGAGAGAGAGGTACCCCTACGGTCTCACCACCCTTCGGTCTCCCAAGCCTCCCAGGCAGCCAGGCTCACACGATCAGGTCGAGGGGCTCCAGTGTCACGGGGGGTGGCACCCTGCACCCTGCACCACACAGCGTGGCAGAGTGGCAGCATCTTACGTGTGTGGTCATTTAAGTCACTTCACAGCATGCCTGGGTGTGTTCCCCGCCCAGAGGAGAAAGCCAGGGACAGCAGGTACAGAGCGTGGCAGTGTCCTATGGCTGCCGTGAACCAATTACGGCAACATTTGGCTTACAAGCAAGATTCTATATCCCACATGGCTGACTGCAGTTCGAATCCCGGACACGGTGGTTTGAAGATCATGCTGGGTGTGTGTGCATGCGTGCCCCAAATCCCTAGAGAATGGGGAGGAGAAAGGAGTGTGGTGTAGCCATTCTTTCTGAGGAGTGACTTCTCACTTTTCCTCTCTCTCTCGGTGTCTCTCTCCTGCTAGAACATGTACCTGTTAGCAAATCCTGAAGTTCTAGAGGCTAGAAGTCTGGAACCAGTGTCTGACAGGGTGGCCCGGGGAGGATCCTTCTAGCTCTTCCAGCTCCTAGGGCCCAGGTGTTCCTTGGCTTGTGGCTGCGTCACTCCAGGCTCCACCCCTGTGGTCACATGGCCTCCTCATCTCCTCTTCAGGTCTCTGTCTTCTCCTTAGACGCTGTCACTGGGCTCAGGCCCACCCTAATCCAGCCTGAGCTTCGCTTAACTGAAGTGAAGTGAACTTGAAATACAGACCCTATTTCCAAATAAGGCTCCATTCTGAGGCTCCTGGTGACACGCTATTGGGGGGACACTATGCACCCCAGTGTTTGAAGTGATGAGACAACCCTCCAGAGGCACTTCTTGCTGACATGAACAAGGTCATGATGGTGTCTGTTCAGTGTGAGCCAGAGCCCCTGGGTTGGGGGGGTCTGTTTTACGAAGCACCACGGGGCGGGGGGGTGGGGGAGTGCCCTGCAGAGACTGAGCCACTTCCTCATTGGGGGCTGGAATAGGAACCCCACATGTGCGATTGGAGCTTCGAGGCCCGCAGTGACAGGTGGGAAACCCCCTGAGCTCGGGGAGCCTTCCCTTTTCTCAGGAAGCAGTCCCTGAGCACTGGCTCTGTGCCACTCCTAGAGGAGGGGGTGCCCAGTTCCTGACCCAGGGGAGGTGGGCGGGAAGGATGCAGATGTCCCAGGCATCAGGCAGGCAGTGAAGCGACCCCGGGAGCAGGGGCACCTGCTCAGCCAGCCAGTGAGGACCTCACTGGCCCTGGCTCCCAGATGAAGTGGCAGAGACAGGAGGGAAGGAGCTGGGGTGAGGGTGGGGCAGGGGCGAAGACTCCACCGGGCTCCGTAAGCAGGACCCTGGTGTGTCAGTGGGAGGGACGTGCATTCTCTGTACCCTTCCCGGCCCAGCAGGTACCAAGCTGGCAGTAGGGGAGAGTGAGCAGGGGGAAGCAAAGTCCGAGCTGGGGCTGGATTGGGGCTGGGTCATCCCGAGCTGCATCCCAAGGAGCTCTTCAGGCGTGACAACTCTGGGAGGAGGACAGCAAAGGCACCGGGCTTGACATGGCACGTGGTGGCTGAGCAAAGGCCGAGCCGAGCTCTGCGGCCGTGCTGCACTCTGCTCGCTACGGCTCCGCCTTCAGTCTCACCTCTGGAGTACTGCCAGGCCTAGCCCCTCCTCCCGGGGCCGGGCAGCTTCCCTGGAAGCAGAAAGGGGCTGCCCACAAGGTGCCACTGTCCCCTTGTTCTTGATGGGGTCCGATGCTCCCTTCTAATTCGCCTGTCTCTGCCTCTCGAAGGTGGCTGAGGGAAGGGGAGGGCTTGACCGAAGACCGAGCAGTCAGGTTACAGCCAGCGCCGGTGGACAGGTGAGCAGGTGGGCGGTCACAGGACGTCACTTTACAGCCTCGAGGCTGTCACATCTGTAAGCTTTACCAGCCTTTGGCTACTCGAGCCCTGTGTACCTCCTCCAGGGAGCCTTCCCTGATTCCTTCCTCCACTCTGCCTCTGAGGCTAGGGCACCGGCTCTTCCCTTCCCAGAACTTACAGTGTGGAACTATCGCTGCTTAATTCGAATTTATGTCTGAATTCCAACATAAGCGGGCCCGGGTCGTCCTCTACCATGTCCCTGCTGCCCAGCCTAGACCAGGCACAGGGTAGGAGTCAGTGGTGTTTATTGAAACAAAAAGACTTCAGAAGTGGGCTCCTCCCGTCCCTGCTCTACAGGTGGACCCAAACATTGTGCTATGTGTATGGGGTTGAGGCCAATTCTCAGGTGACAGCCGTGCGTGGACACTGACCCACCTCACTCACCAGGAACTCCTTGGTCTGCATGTTGCCAGGGGGGGTTGGTGGCTCTCCTGGGCGGCCATGTCTATGAAAGCCCTCTCCCCACAGTGGCGGCCAGTCCTGCAAGCCCAGAGCCAGGATGGGTGTGCAGGAGGCGCCAGAGGTTGGTGGGCAGACACAGGAGCGGGCCGTGTTGGCCTTTTATAGATAAGGATGTGGAGCCCGGCCAGGGTGTATGTGTGTGTGCATGGGTGTGAGTTGGCAACCACTCAGAGGTGGCTCTCGGGAGCCGGTGCCTACTGAGACACCTGCTGTCCTGGGAGCATCCGGAGGTCAGTCTTGCTCACCACCCCCAGCACCATGGGCCCGGGCCCTCCTTAGGCCAGGAGCACGGAGAGATGGGGGAGGGTGGAGGACAGGACTCAGGTTAGGCCTAGTGTACAGTGAGGAGGGATCCCCATGCCGGCGTCTAATGAAGTCAGCTGCCCCTTGGTTTTGGCAAAACTTGGAGGAGGAGCGAGAAGGAGCCCAACACCCCTGACAGGCCCTCCCCCCAGTCTCTCGTCTCTCGGTACACCTGGGTTTCCAGTGCAGCAGCGGTGGGTCTCTGCCTCCGTGGGGTGCTCAATGCTCTGCCTCGTCTGTCACAGCCCCGTGTCCTGCGTCCTTGACCTCAGACCCCATCGCCCCTACAGCGGTCCCGGTCTGCCTCCTAGTTTCCTGCCATGGTCCCTGTTCCTGGGACTGGAGCAGAGGTGGAGATCGGGGCAGGAGGCTTTGGGGGTCATCCAGGCAGCAGGAGCTGGGCCTGGGCAAGTGGAGCCCCACATTCTGGCCCCATGTCCTCTGGGCCTGCTTCTAGCTGCTCTGCTCCCCAATATGTGTAAGAAAGAGAGCAGTCAGAGGAGGCCAGATGGGCATCTTTGCTTCCAGAAAAGGGGTGAGCAGCGCTGCTGCCCCGTCTGTCTGTGTGCTGTGCAGAGGGGGTTCCGGCCGGCCACTCTGGATCGGCAGGCCTAAAACCTCTCAGCTCACAATGAGCCAGTGGGAAGGCTGGAAATGGGCAAGGCTCCCATGCTGGGCACTCCCACCAGCCTTCCAGAGCAGGCAGTGCTGTTTCCCCTTACCCATGAGACAGAGACCCAGGGGCACATGGCTGACCGCTATCCCTGGGCCACACCTGTGGTCTGTCCCCTGTGTTCCTCAGCCCTGGCCTAGCCTGCAGTCCTGCTGGCCACGTGGCTCCTCACCTGAAAGGGGACTCTGTGTCCATCTGTGTCCTCTGAGGGGGGCAAAGCCGCTGACCTGGGAGGAAGAAGCGAGGCATGTGGCCAGCTTTTCAGAAGAGGCCCTAGAGCACCAGGGCTCCACCTTCTCCGAATCCCTGGCCCTGCCCCTGCTTCCTTCCCCTCCCACGTACTCTGGCGCCGGCCCCATTCCCTACCAGCTGCAGCCTTGGGCCAGAATCCCATTGCAGCCGAGGCTGGTGGGAACAGAACTTCGCAGCTGTGCAGAGCCAGGGTTGGCCTCCCCTGTCTCCTGGGAAGGTACATCGTCTCTCTGGGGAGTCCATTCTCTCAGCCCTGGCTGGCGGAACGTGCTAGGTCTATGTGGAAACCATGTTCCCATAGCTGTGCCGCGGGGCTATTGTCCCATCCTCTGTTTACTCGCAGTCTTCAAGGCTCACACCTTCATTATTACGTGCAGGAATACTCAGCCCCGGTACATCTCAGACCATATCAGACTCCGAGTCGTTCCTGCTTCCCAGGGGGCTGTGGGCGAGCAAGAGCAGCTGCTCCACTGCCCTGCAGGACTTCCCGCACAGGTGAGGGGTGGCTTCAGTGAGCCTGCTCCTGAGGCGCTGGGTCTGGGTGGGAAGGAAGTGCCGGGGTGGAGCTCTGAAGGGACGCCTCAGGGCCCAGCGGGCAAAGAGGAAGAGGGTCTCTCTAGGCAGAGGTAAGGGGCTACGCCAAGGCCCTGTGGTAGAAGGGAGCGCGGTAAACAAGACAGGCTGGTGAGGTGGCCCGAGGCCGTGGCCGGAAGCACCGAGGCTGTGAGCCAATCACACGCACTGCACCATCCCGCCGTGGTCGCCCTCTGTGAGCGAGGGCGCTGTGGGGTCTCAGGGTGTCAGGCAGTCTGCAATGTCAGTGCTCCTCCTGACCTCAGCTCTGGCAGCAATGTCGTGCTGGCTCTGATGGCCTGTCCCCCTGCGGAGGCCGTCTCTGCTGACCACCACCCTCTCCTCCGTCCACAGAGGGCCAGTAGCACCCAGGCCACCACGGGCCATGGAGGCCCCCATTGAGATGACCACTGAGGAGCCAACCCCGTTGGGACAGGGGCCTGTGGGACCCTCAGGAGGTGGCGGCGGCAGCGGCAGCAGTGGGGACCAGGTCCAGACCGTGACTGTGAAGTCATCAGTTGGCTGGGAGCACGCTGGGCCAGCGAAGGTCCAGACGATGGTCAGAGGTGGTGAGTGCCGCGTTCAAGTCCCAGCATCCACCTCTGTCCACTCTGTCCACTTAGCCTGCCCTTCCCTGTCACCTATCCACCCCACCCATCCTATCCACTCGTGTGCCGCCTGCCCGCCCTCCTGCCCCCAACCCCCAGCTTTTGCACCTGCTGCGTCTGTCCCCGTCCTCAGGGAGTGTTTAGAGAACTGAGCCTTGTGAGTCATCTGCGAGACGGAGGCCCGACTCGGGTTTTTCCAGGCGCGTCAGTGATAACAACACTGGCACAGAACACGGAGAAGAGGGCCTGGGGGGCTCCCATTTATTCAGAGAGGGTTCTAGAAATAATTGCAAACTGTTAACCTTGCATTCTAGTTCAGCCTTGTCCTCCTAAGACCCCCCAAGATTACTCAGGACAGGGTGTTCCTAGTTCCCCAGGAGGCAAACTACGGCCCAGCGAGGGGAGGGGACTGGTAGCTGAACTGGGACTAGTACATGGTCCCCTGAGGTCCTAAGCTGGACAGCCTCCCCGACTAGCCCAGGAGGGGCTGTGACAGGGTGGGCTGGCCCCTGGAGACCTGGTTTAGTGCTGGTATTGCCGAGCTTCTTGTTGATGGTCCTGGTCCCTCACTTCCAAACCTGAGGACTAGGCTCTGTCATCTCCAGGACCCCACTCCCCATCTTTGGAGCCTGGAAGAAAGGCAAGGAGGAGAGGTTTGTCTAGGCTCCTCCCACGCCAGAGACAGCCCATGGCTCTGGTCCCCTCCCGGGCTTCCTCCTCACCATGTCTAAGCTCATCCCAGTCACCTGCTCAGCTGCCATTGTGTCTCGAGTCTCCTGAGCATGGCACTCATCAACAGCGAGTGCTCAGTGACTAGTTGAGTGATTAATGAAAGGGGACAATGGGAGGACAGAAACAGCACTTCACGTGCGGTGGCCGGCCCAAAGCCCACAGGGAGATGGGTACCACTTGGTATTTTGTGCTACTTATGTATGTTGGTCCTTCCGTGTGCAGTGGGGACGGGAGGGAGCCAGCATGGCCTCCTGGGTGCTGACTCAGAAGTGGTCCTGCAGGCACACGCTGCCTGGCCAGGAGGGAAGGGCTCAGAGCACGCCTGTGTGGGAAAGTCGGTGATGCAGCCCACCAGGCCAGGGACAGAGAAGACGCTGGGAAACCCCAATGAGCAGAGGGCTGGCCGGCCTCCTGCAGAGCTGCCCTGCCTGGGGAGGTGCTGCTGTGGTCTCAGAGGAGGGGCATCCTGACATGCCGTGCAGCGCGGGTGCAGTGAGTGTTCGGACCACGGTGCCAGGCGTTTCCTCCTCTAGAGGTATAGCAAAGCACCCTGGCAGCTGGCATTAGAGTGCGTCTTTGTGAGTCCTGTGGACGGGCATCCTGAGACTTCTCCTTTCTTAGGAGTCCCGGCTGTCACCAGCAGCAAAACCAGCTGGGCGGATGGGGCTCTGCAGGGACCTCCCCACTTAGCCTGCTCCAGACGGTTTCAGATCCACAGCAAAAGCTGCAAGAAATGGTGCCAATAAATCCATTGACTCTTTTTTTAAAAAAAATTGTAACCTTTTCTTTCTTTCTTTTGCTCTTCTTTCTTTCCTTCTTTCTTCTTTCTTTCTTTCCTTCTTCCTTCCTTCCTTTTCTTTCTTTCTTCCTCCCTTCCCTTCCCTTCCCTTCCCTTCCCCTTTCCTTCCCTTTCCTCCCCTCCCTCCCTCCCTCTCTCATTTATGTACATTTAATCATATTCTTACAGTGGATCCACTGAGCCTTGCCCAGATTCTTCACGTTAACACTGACTGTTGGCGCACCCCCCCCCCGACTTTTCCCCTACACTGTCTGAGAGTAAACGGCAGACACGGTGCTCCTTCATCCCCAAAGGTGTCCATATCCCCGTACCAGGACTCTTACAGAACCACAGGGCAACGGTTTCTATGCTCATTTCCTAATTTTTAGAATACAGTGACCTCATCTGCAGACCTCGTTCAGATCGTGCTGCTTGTTCCGGGAATGCCGTTTATAGCCAGGGAAAGCCCTGGGTCCTGCCTTGCGTTCTCTTGCCACATCTCTGAGATGCTTCTCCTCCTCTTCTTCCCCTTCATTAGACGTTTGCTACAGTGTGTGCGTGCTCATCAGACAGACAGAGAGGGAAAGCGAGAAAGCACTCTGCAGTGGGCTGATCACCTCGCAGACCCCGTCTCCTCCGTTCTCTTCTCAGGATTGCGTGCCCAGAGTGATTTTCAAACTACCAGGTCTAGGACTGGAACTGCGTAGTCAGCCATGTGGGATCCGGAGCCTTACCCTCCATGCCGGCGGCTGGCCCTGCAGTACCTTGTGATCGGGAAGCTGCTATGTTTAACGATATGAACTGGAGGAAGGGCATTGTCCCCTCCGCGTGCTGTGTCAGGAGGCCCCTGGTCAGTTTGATTCCGAGGCTAAATACCAGTGGCCCCCTGCCAGTTTTCTCCTCCGTGAAGTCCTTGCCCCCCTTGTAATTCGCCTGTAGCGTGTGGGAGACACTTGGAGGCCATGAACTTGCTGTCTCTCATCCAGCTTGTAACTGGATGCATCGTTGTGGCAGTGCTTGGACAAAGCCATCACTGCCATGGTGGCTGCTACATGGTGACTCTAAGGCACCATTCCTAGGACATTCACAAATCGGTGCCCTAAGGGAAGCCCGCCCTCCCCAGGCACTCGTACTCTTACTTTAATGTGGGCTCTCGGATCTGTAATTTCACCTCCAGACCACAAACGCCCTTATTTCTTCGTTGTTCCAGTCACCCTGGATTTGGGCTTTTGACGCGTTCCTCCTGCGGCGTGTCCTTACTTTCTGGGAACACAGGGTGCTCCCGGCTCATCCTGTACTCTCCCTGCCCTGGCTCTGGAAGTGGCCGTGTCTCCAGGGAGCCCTGGCTTCTGACCTGGAGGACGGTGCTTAGAAGCCTAGTTCTACGTGCCGACATTGCTGAGCCCCCACGGCATGCCTGGGTCCGGGCTAGGCCTGAGGGTGCAGAGCAGGCCCTGTGACTGGGCTCTGAGCATCAGGGCTGGCTATGCCGTCGGTGGTCCTCAGACACCCGCATGCCGTAAGCGCCATCGCGATGCAGAGTCCAAGGCCAAGCTGTGCCCATCTGTGCTGTAGTTCAGGACCCAGCATCCCCTGCCATGATTGCAGACAGGCTTCCCCACATAGGATCCCCCTGTCCCTAGACCTGGATCACTCATTCCATTTTACAGAGGAGGAAACAGAGCAGGGCAGAGGTGAGGTATCCGGGCCAAGATGCAAACTCTACAGAGCGGTGAGAGGTTGGGAGGGCCCTAAGGCCCAGGGCCAGAAGGAATGGGAGGGCCCTAAGGCCCAGGGCCAGGAAGAATGACAACCAGTGGGGTCCACAGTCCAGCTCTAACTCACACATGTGTGAAGCCAAGCCCGGCCTCTGCTCTTCAGACCCTCCTCTGCTTGTGTGAGGCCCTTATCTGATCCCACCCTTTGGGGTGTCTCACTGATTGTTGAGCAGAGTGTGAGCCCCCTACTCCACCCTCATAGCACCCAGCGAGCGATGGTGCAGACAGATGAGGGCGCAGTGCTGCCTGCCGGGCACCCACTTCTTCCCAGCTGTCACCCACCTTCGCGGTCAGCAGAATACTGGCCTCCAAAGTAGCCCACGTCCTCATCCCTGGAACCGTACGTGTTACCTCGGACTTGCAGATGGGATTAAGTTAAGGATCATGGAATGCGGAGATTACCCTGGGTTATGGGGGCCCTAAATGTAATCCCAGGGTCTCTGTTACAGCAGGCTGGCAGCAGAGGCCTGGAGGAGGAGGTGCAAGGACAGGAGCAGGAGTCAGAACTGAGGCTGCAAGGTGGAGGGTGGGGCCGCGAGCCAAGGCATGTGGGAGGCTCTCGGAGCTGGAAAAGTTGGAGAAACAGAGCCTCCCCTTGAACCTCCCGAAGGAAACTGGCCCTGATGCCATCTTGATTTTAGTGCTGCAAACCCCGTTTGAGCTCCAGACGGGCAAACACGTGTGCTGGCTTGAGCGGCTGAGTTTGGGGCAACACCACAGAAAATGCACACAGCTTGCCTCCTCGCGAGCTCCGTGAGGCTGGAGGAAGGAAGCCGACATGGACAGTGGGTCCGGGATGTGGAGCTGCAGGTTGACGGTTCTCACTTCATCCTAGGAACCTGCTGTGTGGCAGACGTGGCTCCTGCCCCTGGCCTCCCTGGGCCTGCTCTGGGGGCTCCTCCCAGTCAGATGGGCACGTATCCCACAGGTAATCATCCTCCGGGGCCCTGAGCTGTGCCAGGCCCATACCTGGTGCACAACTCCCTGGGCACCCGGGAATGCCTAGCCCAAGGCTGGTCAGGGCATGGCTCCCAGACTTCCTGCCTTTGGATCACCGTGGGGGCTGGAGGGGCTTGTTAGGTGAAGATTCACAGGGGCCGAGGGACTCCAGAGCACTATGTCCCACCCAGGGCTGGAAGGCCGGGGTGAGTCTGCACTTGAGGTGTGGGGAGGGGCACCCCTGGTGGGATGTGGTAAGACCTAGACAAAGGTGCCCCTCTGTTGTGCACGCAGAGGGGGAACGCAAGGCCCTGGCAGGCATCCAGGGACTGGCCTCCTGGGAGGGATGCCGAGGTGGGGGAGCAGGACAGAAAGCTCTTGGGCTCTGAGCAGTAAGTCATGTAGCCTGGAGGCCATGGCCGTGACCCTCAGCTGAGACGCCAGCACCCCCAGTGGCCTCCTCTGCTGGGCGCCCCCTGTCCTCTGACTTTCTTTCCTGGTAGTCAGCACGCCTGTGTCACTCGGGATGACCGGGACGTGTTGGGCAATGCCGCAGATTATTTTAGGTTTGAAAACGCAATGTCCGTCCTTTTGTGGGAGCTGGAGCTTCGAAAGCTGCTCAGAGTCTTGTGAAATGCTGGGCTGTGCTTCCTGTTCGGGGTGTGACCCAATTCCAGATTCCAGAATTCTCTATATTTCTCAGCCACTGGCCCTTCCCCCAGAGTCCCCAGCCAGGAAGAACTCCAGGCTTCATCAAAGGATGTGGGAGAATTGATCCCTGTCTATCTGGCTGGCCTTTTATTTATTTTTTTAAGAGAGAGAGTTTTGTCATAGGGCATGTGAGACAGTAAGAACTCATCCCCCAGGGGACTGGCCATGCCGCAATCCCTTCTCCTTCATTCCCCTCTCAGGATTTTGAGCACGCACGCATGCACTAGCACTCAACATGAGGTTTTTAAGCCACTGAATTCGGGACTCGAACGGCGGTTATCTACGTGGGAGTCCAGTGACATAACCATTAACACCATCTGATGGTTATCGTGACTGGCCTTTGATCTCCCTCCTGTTTCTCTGCCTTTCTCTTTCTCCCCGTATCTTTGTCCCTGTATCCCCCAACCCCACCCCCTTGGAGTGACCCCTACTCTGTAGAGGGCTGGGAGGCCCCAGAATGGCACTGCCTATGATCTGAGGCTGAGTCTTGACCTCGAGGAATAGGAAGGCTTATTTTCTCTGGGATTGGAGAGTACAGGAGACGGGCCTCTGCCCAGGATCTGGGTTTGACAGGGTAGCTGCCGGCCTCAGTAGTGATAGGAGATGTGCTTTGGGGATCCCTGTATGTGGTAGGGAGGGGAGCCCTACCCTAATATAGGCTTGGCAGCCTGTATTAAATTTAACTTGAATGAAATGAACTTCCCAGAGAGGAGCTCAGCGCCCCACATGGCTGGGACAGCTCATGGCACAGTGCAGGCAGAGCCATGTGATGGTGCTACAGGGAAGGCCGGGAGCCAGGGCGGACAGAGCACGTTGTAACAGGCCCATTGGGCTCTGTGTAGACCAGAGGACCGATACGGCAGGGCCAGTGGACAGCTGCCCAACTCAGGCTCAAGGGGCCGAGCCATAAGGGGTGGATGTGAGGGTGGAGTCTATGGGTTCACGCTGGACTGAGTGGGATGTGGTGGAGGCAGGTGGTCTGAGCAGGAGTGGAGATGAGAGAGAAGAGGGGAAGAGTCAGTTGAGGGGTGAACTAGAATTCTGGGATGCCTGTGGGGTGAGTGCTGAAGGGTGGATGCCCTGCCTAAAGCCAGGGGCTGCGGGAAGAGGCTAAGGTGGCCAGAGGCCATTGCTGACTGGTGCTCTGTGCCAGCCTGTCCTGGGGGTGGAGCATGAGCCCGCTCTCCCACCCTCTGGGAACAGGCATCACAATGAGGAAACTGAGGCCGGGGGAGGCAAATAACGGTCCCAGGTCTTCACGAGTGGTGCTGGCAGTTGCTGGGGTTTAAGCCTGGGTCTCTCGGACTCTCCATAGACCCAGTGCTCCAGGCCTCCAGCTTTTGGTTTGTGGGTTGAAGGCTGGCGGGGAGGGGTCTGCACCCACTGAACTCCCGGCCTGAGTCAGGCCAACTGCCCGACCTTAGTCTGCCCCTTCCCGACCTGCCCCTGCAGCTGCTGGCCGAG